TTGATGGAATTGGACTTGAGGGAGATGTTTTTACCTTGATCTTCAGTTTCAGGAAACAGGTTTAAAGTAGATATTCTGATTTTATTGTGTCTTGACCATCTTCAGCAAGCTTTTTTCATCATAAGGATGATTAAATAATTCACTGTCTCTCAGCCCGACCCCTTGTTGTTGTGGGTAAAATAAGAAGAAGGTATGTTAAACAGTGTCGCTTGCCACCGTGAGTTACCTGTAAAAATAATAAAGGCAGGATATAAATACATAAAATAAAATAAATAAATAAATAAAATAATTCAGAGGTGACCCTTTCCTGACCGTTTGGAGGTGTATTTATGGAATACAGGCTGTCCTCGGCTTAAGATTCACTTAACAACTGTTAAGTGCAGAGATTTGCTTAATAACTGTGCCAAGGAATGTCCTAACATGGGGCAAAACAACTGTCTCACTTAGCAACAGAAATTTTGGGCTCAATTGTGGTCGTAAGTCAAGAACCACCTGTATTTCAAGGGAGGATCTAATTTCAACTCGGGGACTGCAGGGTTAGAGAAATAATATCTTGATACATAAACAAAAACAGCTCATAGAGATCAATTGATCAGATTTTATGGAGGAGAGAAAACTTCAGATCGTTCTCAGCCACCCATGAGCCCAACCTAAGTTTTGCTTTAATCTGCTTTCACACATTCCAGAAATTTGGGAAGCACTGTTTTTAAACCAGCATCTTTCTCTTGGATCTGAGAAGAAGTCCTGCCTCTTTCCTTGGTATAAAACAGGGGTCTTCAAACTTGGACCTTTTACGACTTGTGGACTTCAACTCCCAGAATTCCTCAGCCAGTCCACAAGTCATAAAAGGGCCAAGTTTGAAGACCCCTGGTATAAAACCTCATTACAAGGAAACCGTGGGGGGGTGTTTGTGTGGTCTTCTGCACATGTTCAGAAATGCATTTAGATTTACTTCCTGACAATACTGAGGTTTTATTCTTGACATTTTCGACATGTTGTATAAAGTCAGCCTCTACTTCAGTGTTTCTCAACCTTGCCAGTTTTAAGAGGGGTGGACTTCAACTCCCAGAATTCCCCAGCCAGGGATGGAGCAGTGTTGAGAAATTTATTTTTAAGTTTGGTACTAATAAGCAGGAAGCCTCTTTCTGTTCCTCTATATCGTTTTTCTGTAGCTGGTGGAGAGAAATAGTCTTCTCTTTGAGTGAATGTGCACTTAGCAATCTAATTTATTTATCTATATGGATGCTTAAAATGTTATATTGTTGTCCTGTTTCTGCTGTTTTCCCAACAAGGGCAAGAGGCACACTCTTTATTTTTTGGAAACAACCAGAAAATATCAAAAGCGTTTTGTCGTTCTCTTTTTCTCTGAAGTTTCCTTGACTCCCTGTTCCGTGCCATTGCCTTGGGATCTCCTGGAGGCGTTCATTCCATATTAACTCAGTTCATTTCAGTTTCTCTTCCTGAAATTTGGCTCAGTGCTGCCCCCTAGCCGTATTTTACCCACCCTTAAATGCCTTTTTTATGACTGTGTTCCGGCTGCTATGAGAAAGAAAAGATTATTTTTAAAAACCAGACAATTATTCCAAGTTCATGGTGGGTTTTTTTCAATGACCTCAGCTGACAATACCTACAGAAAATAGATTGTCAAAAAACAAAAAAGAGCAAATTGGCTTAAAATAATATTTACTAGTGAAATATGATGTATATGTAAAATAGTCTTTATCAGCCTTAGCATCGTTAAGATGTGTAGACTTCTTTTTAAGATGTGTCTTACGTCTCCAGTCTCTAAATATTTTTAAGCATTTTAAAGCACGCTGGCTGGGGGATTCTGGGAGCTGAAGTCCACAGAGCTTCAAGCATGCTGGCTGGGGAATTCTGGGAGCTGAAGTCCACAGACCTTCAAGCACTGTGGCTCGGGGATTCTGGGAGTTGAAGTCCACAGAGCTTCAAGCATGCTGGCTGAGGAATTCTGGGAGCTGAAGCCCACAGAGCTTCAAGCATATTGGCTGGGGGATTCTGGGAGTTGAAGTCCACAGAGCATCAAGCAAGCTGACTGGGGGATTCTGGGAGCTGAAGTTCACAGAGCTTCAAGCACGCTGGCTAGGGAATTCTGGGAGCTGAAGTTCACAGAGCTTCAAGCACTCTTGCTGGGGGATTCTGGGAGTTGAAGTCCACAGAGCTTCAAGCACTCTGGCTGGAGGATTCTGGGAGTTGAAGTCCACAGAGCTTCAAGCACTCTGGCTGGAGGATTCTGGGAATTGAAGTCCACAGAGCTTCAAGCACACTGGCTGGGGAATTCTGGGAGTTGAAGTCCATAGAGCTTTAAGCACGCTGACTTGGGAATTCTGGGAGTTGAAGTCCACAGAACTTCAAGCATGCTGACTGGGGGATTCTGGGAGTTGAAGTCCACAGAGCTTCACGCACTCTGGCTGGGGAATTCTGGGAGTTGAAGTCCACAGAACGTATAGCACGTTGACTGGTCAATTCTCAGAATTGAAGTCCAGACATTTTAAAGCTGCAGAGGTCGAAAAACACGGTGTACATTCTTCCCTCAAATTAAAACAAAAATGAAAAGGTGTCTGCCTCCTATTTGATTCCTTCATTGTAACAGAGGTGGCAGCCTTCAGATAAAGCTGAAGTAAAAGTCCCAGCATCGATAAAGGGGGTTCAAAGTTGGAACTGGCTACCTCTTTTGTAGAGGAGAAGAGAGAAAGGTTGGGTTTACACACCCTGGCGAGACACCTCAAGATGTGGTTTCCTTGATTGTTGTTCATCACAATGCGTGTTTTTCAAAGGCGTTGGATTATAACCCTCCAAATCCTTCAGTGTTGGCTAGGGGAAAAAATTGCCGGTGGGTGTAGGTGCCAAATTGATTAGGTGGAAACTAATCCAGGAGAGAAGCAACCTAGAACTAAAGAGAAATTTTCGGATAGTGAGAACAATTAATCAGTGGAACAACTTGCCACCAGAAGTTGTGGATGCTCCAACGCTTGGAGGCTTTAAAGAAGAGATTGGACAGCCATTTGTCTGAAATGGTATAGATTTTCCTGCCTGAGTAGGAGGTTGGACTAGAAGACCTCCAAGGTCCCTTCCAACTCTGTTTTTTTCTGTTAAATTGGAATTGGGAAGACTGAGGTTCGAGTTCCGCTTCAGCTACGGAAGCTCCTGAGGGACTTTGAACTAATCATTTTCTCTCAGCTCCAAAGCCCATATGAGGTTGTGGAGAAGATGTTGGTCTAGGGCAGGGGTAGGCCACCTTGGCTCTTTTATGACTTGTGGACTTCAACTCCCAGAATTCCTGAGCCAGCCATGCTGAGGGGAAAGGGAGAGGTTTCCAAGCTGAGCCATGCTGGCTCAGGAATTCTGGGAGTTGAAGTCCACGAGTCATAAAAGAGCCAAGGTTGCCTACCCCTGGTCTAGGAGCACAGAGACTTGGGTTCTAATCTTCCCTCAGCCACAGATGATCTCTCAAGGTCCTCCCTTTCTCTCAGCCAGAGAATCAGTTGTCAACGCTGCAAATACTGTATATTCTTGCTTTGACAATATGCAGAACTGTCTGGTATTTTTATAGTTAAATCAGGCAACAGTGAAAGGGGAGGAGAATAAGGAAAGCCTGGGAAAAAGAAACTGGAAGGAAGAATGACCCCAAAATAGGGGAGGGAAAAATGCCTGGAATGTATGTGCAATGGAAAAGAATCTCAGATCTAAGCATTTCCACCATGCCGTACTGACATCTCTGTAACCTTAATAAATGCTTTTAGGAAAAATATGCCTGAAAGTCCTTTTAAGTGTTTCGTTAATCAGACACATGACATCAGTTTAGTCTAGTGGGGAAGATGATGGATTAAGAGCAAAGAGACCCGGGTTTTAATCCTCCCTTAGGCACAGAGTTTCTCTGGGTGGCTTTAGGCAGGGTAGCATCCCTAGCCCAACCTATCGTGCAGGGTTGTTGTGGGGAAAAATAAGGGGGAGGGTGGTGGTCTTTCCTCTTTTGGCTCCTAAATAAAAGAGGAGGATGGAAATCCAATAAATAAATCAAAGGAGTTGACCCAACAGATGTAAGATGCACCAGGTGGGTGGATTGGCTGGTCCAATTGGGTTGGATTCACGGTTATCCCTCTTCAGTTTTTTTTTAAACCAGAAAAATGCTTCATCTGAATCACTGATCTGTTCTTCCTTCCTTCCTTCCTTCCTTCCTTCCTTCCTCCCTCCCTCCCTCCCTTCTTTCTTTCTTTCCTTCTTTCCTTCCTTCCTCTCCCTTTTCTTCCCTCCTTTTCCTCCCTTCCTTCCTTTTCCTCTTCCTCCCTTCCTCTTTTCCCTTCTTTCCTCCCTCCCTCCCTCCCTCCCTCTCCCTTTTCTTCCCTCTCTTTTCCTTCCTTTCTTTTCCTCTTCCTCCCTTCCTCTTTTTCCTTCCTTCCTTCCCTTTTAACTTCCTTTACCTTCCTCCCTCCCTCCCTTCCTTCCTTCCCCTTTATCTTCCATTCTTTTTCTTTCTTCTTCTCTTCCTTCCTTTTTCTTATTCCCTCCCTCCCTTCCTCTTTTTCCTTCCTTCCTTCCTTCCTTCCTTCCTTCCTTCCCCTTTATCTTCCATTCTTTTCCTTTCTTCTTCTCTCCCTTTTTCTTATTCCCTCCCTCCCTTCCTCTCTTTTTCCTTCCTTCCTTCCTTCCCCTTTATCTTCCATTTTTTTCTTTTCTTCTCTCCCTTCCTTTTTCTTATTCCCTCCCTCCCTTCCTCTCTTCTTCCTTCCTTCCTTCCTTCCTTCCTTCCTTCCCCTTTATCTTCCATTTTTTCCTTTCTTCTTCTCTCCCTTCCTTTTTCTTATTCCCTCCCTCTCTTCCTCTCTTTTTCCTTCCTTCCTTCCTTCCTTCCTTCCTTCCTTCCTTCCTTCCTTCCTTCCTTCCCCTTCGTCTTCCACTCTTTTCCTTCCTTCTTCTCTCCCTTCCTTTTCCTCATTCCCTCCCTCCCTCCCTCTTTCTCTCCCCCATTCCCCTCCTTCCAGGTGTTTTGGTACCAAGTGTGCTGGCTGCGCGCAGGGCATCTCTCCGAGCGATTTGGTCCGGAGGGCCAGGACCAAGGTCTTTCATTTGAACTGTTTCACTTGCATGATGTGCAACAAGCAACTGTCGACCGGCGAGGAACTTTATATCATTGATGAGAACAAATTTGTCTGCAAAGAAGATTATCTGAGCAACAGCAACTCTGCCAAAGAGAACAGTCTGCACTCAGGTGAGGCATTTTCTTGGCTGGGAAGACCTGATCCGAGCAGATTTTGCTTTGCTTGAGCCGAGAGACGGGGGTTGGCATCAAAGGCTTGGCTTCAAATGTCTCGCAGTGACAAAAAAGGAACTCAGTTTACATGCCCTGGTGTTGGTGACACCGAGCACTACTTTAGAAGAACTGACGGGGAGACTAGCTCAGGAGAAAAATATGTAGATTCCATTTTTCTACAGAGCTAAATAGAACTCCCAGAGTCAGAGGCAGTCTATCTTGGAATATGTGTGGCAGTTGTGTGGACTTATAGAGAGTTGACCGAGAGCCCAATGCTAGCATGCCTTTGGGATTTTGATTTTCTCCTTTATCCGAGAAACAAGACTTTTAATCTGTTGACACAAAGCATAGTCTTTTCCTGACACAAACCCCTGGCCTATTTATTCCAGTATTGTTTAGAGCAGTATTTCTCAACCCTGGCAACTTTAAGAAGTCTGGACTTCAACTTCCAGAATTCCCCAGCCAGCGTCACTTGAAGTCCAGACTTCTTAAAGTTGCCAAGGTTGAGATAGATAGATAGATAGATAGATAGATAGATAGATAGATAGATAGATAGATGGATGAATGGATGGATGGATGGATGGATGGATGGATGGATGGATGGATGGATGATGGATGATGGATGATAGGGATAGATGGATAGATGGATGGATGGATGGATGGATGGATAGATGATAGGGATAGAGAGATAAATAGATAGATAGATAGATAGATAGATAGATAGATAGATAGATAGATAGATAGATAGATAGATAAATAGATAAATAGATAAATAGATAAATAGATAAATAGATAGATGATGGATGGATGGATGGATGGATAGATAGATAGATAGATAGATAGATAGATAGATAGATAGATAGATAGATAGATAGATAACCTGTATTGCCATTTTTTACTGTGGGCACATTGGCACACATTAAAAATGAAGTTTTGTTGCTTGCTCTCAAAAGTGTACACATACATAACACACATTTAAACATGCTATTTGCAGCATATGTATAAACCTACACCCTTACATACAGGGCTTTTTTTCTCGGAGAAAAGGTGGCGGAACTCAAACCTGGCCACGCCCTCATCAAACCCTAGGACCGCCCCTTTAGAGAACAGGAATGCAAGTAAAATTTGGGAGGGGCTATTTCCGGTGTGGGAGGGGCTATTTCCGGTGCGGCCGGCCCGGAAAAAGGTGCCGGAACGCGGTTCCGCCGCGTTCC